GGCATCAGGTCTGGCACTNTCGGGCGCTCCTGTTCGACACACACCGCAGTATAGATCTCCGGAAGATCGAGGCCGTCCCAGGGCTTCCCGCGGTCCCAGATCTCCCAGAGCACGATCGCGTAAGAATAGACGTCGCACTTTGGGGTAAACTGTGATTTCGCGCTAAAAGCCTCGGGCGCCGTGAACGGAAACGTGCCGGATATCCCGGCTCCTCCGCGCATGGTTGACGCCGTCGCGATAGTCTTCAGGGCTTCTGACTTACTGATGCCAAAGTCCGTAATCTTGCACCGCCACTCGTTCGTCAGGAGCACGTTTTGACTCTTGAGGTCGCGATGCAAGATGCCCTCCTTGTGGAGGTAGGCCATGCCGATGGCGATGTCCTTGGCCCAGATGAATTGCATCTTGGGCGTAATGGCATCGTCGCGCGCGTCGAGGACGCCGCGGAGCGACCCGTTCGGCAGGTACTGCGTGACGATGCCGACAAAGCTCGCATCCGTGGTGCAAATGCCAACAATGTCGATAGTGCGCGGGTGCTTGCGCAGCTTATCCATGATGCCGACTTCTTTTTTGAAACTGGAGAGAATCTTGTCGCGCGCGGACTGCGCTCCGACGCCGACCAGCGAGAACTTCTTGAGGCACACGATTTCGCCAGCGTACTCCGCTTTGTGGACGCTGCCCTGGCCACCGCCCGCGAACGGCTCCACCTCGACGAAATCGAGCTCGATCTCGTTGTCCTCCATGTGCGTCGCCTTGAGACGGCGCGCGCGGTCCCGTTTCGTCAACGTCTCCAACTTTTCGAGTATTGTAGCGTGACCCTCCTGCATCTTGCGATTGGAATCTAAGACCTCGCGATGGGAGTCTAAGATCTTGGCCAGGCCCTTGCTCACCTCACCACTCAACTCGCGCATCTCGATCAGGAGCTCGTCCTCGGGCACGTGCGCGTTCTCCACGACCTCCGCGATCGCGACCGGAGTCCTCGCGAGGATCGCGGCGGCCGCGGCCGGGTCCTCGTGGGTCTCGGAGCAGCGCTTCGCCACGAGCATCGTGATCGACTGTTCCATCTGATATGTGCGCTGAAGAATATCGGCGTCCACCGCAAGCTTGTAATCGAGCTTGAGGCTCTCGAGGCACGTCGCGATCTCCTTGTCGAGCTTCGTCAGCGAGTTGACGTGCCCGCGCTGGTGGAAAGCGCGCTTGAGCCAGCCCGCCCGTCCGAAGGCGTCGACGGCCAGCTTGAAGTCGCACAGGAGGCCTTTCAGCTTTCGCATCTTCGACTCCACGAGGTCCGCGTTCCCGAATTCGAGCTTCTCGGCGTTCGCGGACATCTGCTGCAACGCGCCGAGGACGTCGACGACTCTTCGCCCGGCCATCACGACGTCGTCCGCCTTGCGCGAGTGCTCCTCGACGGAGCGAAGGATGTCGCGGGCCACCTCGCAGATCGGACCAACGACCGGCCCGCCCGCCACCTGCCCCAGTGCGAGGAGGACGTGGACCGCGTTCATGCCCTGCGCGATGACGCCCTCCGACTCGCGCATCAGCTGCTGGTACCGCGCGCTGGGCACGGGCTCCGCCGCCGGCGCGGCCGCGAAACTCGCGCTCGCGGGCGGCGCGGAGGGGACGGGCGTCTTCGTCGAGGCGGAGTGCCGCGCCGCGCCCGCCACGTTCCGAGCGCCGCCCGCGAAGGCGTCGTCGCGATCCGGAGGCGCCTCGAGGTTGATGTCCGCGCGAGCCGCGGCGGCCTTGGTCCGGCGACGCTTGATGCAGAGGCAGGCGATGGCAACCGCGACGACGGCCGCGACGGCCGCGGCCGCGACGACGATCGTGTCCGCGCCGCCGCCGCTGGTGCTGCTGCCGCCTCCGGAACTGGTCGTAGGCGACCCCGGGGCGGGTTGCGGGTTTGGCCGCGGCGTTGGCCGGGGAGTAGGCTGCGGAGTCGGCGCGCTGAGCACGTACGCCGAGCCCGAGTTGGAGCCGGCGTCGTCGTTCCATAACGCCCCGACGACGACGAGGTCGCCGCTGACGGCGACGGACGTGCCGAAGCGGTCGCCCGCCGCGGCGTCGCTCGCGACGAGCTTGGCGACCTGCGTCCAAGAGACGCCGCCGTTCGTCGTGCGGAAGGCGTAGGCCGAGCCCGGGTCGGAGCCGGCGTCGTCGTCCCACCACCCCCCGACGACGACGAGGTCGCCGCTGACGGCGACGGAGAAGCCGAAGTAGTCCCCCTCCGCGGCGTCGCTCGCGACGAGCTTGGCGCTCTGCGTCCAGGAGGCGCCGCCGTTCGTCGTGCGGAAGACGTAGGCCGAGCCCGAGTCGGAGCCGGCGTCGTCGTTCCAAGTCGCCCCGACGACGACGAGGTCGCCGCTGATGGCGACGGACTCGCCGAATCGGTCGTACGCCGCGGCATCGCTCGCGACGAGCTTGGCGGTCTGCGTCCAGGAGGCGCCGCCGTTCGTCGTGCGGAAGACGTAGGCCGAGCCCGACCCGGAGCCGGCGTCGTCGTTCCCGTACGCCCCGACGACGACGAGGTCGCCGCCGATGGCGACGGATTTGCCGAAGTAGTTGTCCTTCGCGGCGTCGCTCGCGACGAGCTTGGCGGTCTGCGTCCAGGAGGCGCCGCCGTTCGTCGTGCGGAAGACGTAGGCCGAGCCCGAAAAGGAGCGCTTGTTAAATTGGCCTGCCCCGACGACGACGAGGTCGCCGCTGACGGCGACGGACTCGCCGAAGAG